GTCCCTTGTAATTACTACAAGATTTCTATATAATTAGAAAAAATGAATTTTATAATAGAAAATATGCGTGTATTTCACGCTACTTAGTATAAATATTTGTAAATGATTTAAATACAATTACATTATGTATAAATAATTATTCATAAAATTAAGTAATCAAAAGAGAAGGAGTGTAACATCAAAGATAGTGCCACGTAAGCCGAAAAGGGGTAGAAAATTATTTATAAAATAAGTTTGGGGGTAATAGGACCTTAGTATAGTATAAGTGTGTCTCTGAGATTTCGGGCATAGGTTGGGGGTACTTGTGCATTTTCCCGACAATCATATCAAATAGTTTTAAGATATTCTATCATTTTGATACGTAGATTTCACATGAGTTATTAGTTGTGAAGATGTCATATAATGTTTGAAGAGAATATATACAAATTTATCAATATCTATTACATTATTATAGCATCACAAGAAATTGTACAACTTCAGATGTACATTATGTTCATTCCACAAATATTCGAAAATAAGATGAAATAGAGTAGACTAAAAACAATAAAATAGCTAATGAATTCTAAAACTTTTAAATAACAAAAATTCAAGAGAGAAACAATTCTAACTAACAAAAGCATAAATATATTTACCTCTTTTTTGTTGAATATGATGAACAATAACATCCATCATCAATCATCCATCAACAATTATACATTAGAATAACTAAGTGTATGCATTAACATAAAGTAACTGTGATGAGCAATATAATTACATCCACCAATAATCATCCATCAACAATTATACATCAGAATAACAAAGTGTATGCATTAATATAAAGTGATTTTGAAAACAACTTTTTGGTATATATAATTATGAGTCAGGAATTATAAAAGTCATTTAAAATTTGATGAAATAGATAACATTTATGAGAATCAGATTGGTTAAAGTTGGGTTATGTAAAGTTTCTGATTTTAAATATGTGTGCCATATTAAGATGTCTGGTAATTCAAAGGACATTTTGTTGTTTAATGTTTAAGGATATTTCAGTTTTTAAAAGATATAATTTACTGCCTTTTCTTGTTACGAAACACTTCATCTACCTAACTAAATTTTAGAATTCCGTGAATTAATTCTATCGAGAAATATAATGGATTAATACCATATAATTATTATTTAATATTTTATTAATTAGTTTTTTTTAATAATAACACTTCATCTACCAAACTCCATTTTAGAATTCCGTGAATTGATTCTATCTAGAAATATAATGGATTAATACTGTAACATCTCGCAAATTGAAATGTCTAGGAAGAAATTAAAGAATTGGAAATAGCCATTTTTGGAAAGAATGAAAATCTGGAAATTTACTTAAGTTAGGAAAAAGTGAGTTTTTGGTCAACTTCAAACGGCCATAACTTCTAACTCAGAATGAGTTAGGAGCACTTCCAGATATGGTAGGAAAGCTATCAGAATGATCTTTCCAACTCCACGGAGTTTACGCGATTCCGAGTTCGTATGAGTGAGATATGCCCTTTGGAAGTTGGGCTGTTGGAATAAGGAAATGTCCAATCCGGATTTTAAAGGGCATTATGGTATTTTCCTTACCCAATTATTTTATTTCGTTTTTTGGGTAATTAATTTGGGTCTAAACTGATCTTAGTCAGTTTACGCTTTTGGAAAAAGAGTTAGGGTTTTGAGAGAAGAGAAAAGAAGAGAAGAAAAGAGGAGAAGAAGCAAGATTCGTCAAGATCGTTCAAGTTTGATTTTGGATTTCGTCAAGGGTTGATCCCTACGAGGTATGTGAGTTCACACAACATTGGGTTCATTCACCCACGCGCCAAACATGTTTTATTCAGTGTAATTTCGTCCTAAAAAGATTGAGAACTTGATATTCTTGAGTTGTATTCTTGAATTGCTTTCGTTCTTGAATTTGGGATGAGATTGAGGAGTTCTTGAGAGTTTAAGATTGATTATTAGAGTTGATTTGAGTTAGATTCTTGTGTATATGTTGTGGGTACCTGAATCTAAAGAGATATGGAGAAAAAAAATCGAAATTAGGCGAATTGGGGCTAGAAAACGAAGAAGGAACAAGTCGGGCAAATCTGGGTACCAGGTCCGCGTTGCGAACCCATTCCCCAGTTTTGAAAATTTTCTCCTCACGTCGTGGAGCGGTCACGGACCGTTATGCATCAAAATTGATTTCGCGACCAAAAAATTAATTACATCTCCGCGTCGCGTGCCAGCTTTCAAGCAGTGATTTCTAAATATTTTCTCATGTTTAGCTATCTAAAATCATTCCTAAACATCATGAGATATTTCCTATCACAAATCTCAATCCTTGAATTCATAATTCAATTCAAGGATCAGTTAAGAGTCAAGTTAAGAGAAGTTAAGAGTCAAGTTAAGAGAAGTTCAGAAAGTTTTCAAAAGTCTTTTACAAATGTTTTAACTTTGTTTTAAGACTTAAGTTTTGAGTTGAGTAAAGAGTAAAGATTGAAGTCTTTTCTTCAAAAGAGTATATGGGACTATGCATTCCCAAAGAATAAATGTTTTCACATTTAAACAAGAAAGGAAACTGAGATTTCCAAAAGAGCCTTTGAGCTAGTTTTTTCAGTAAAGAGTAAATGTTTTCACATTTAAATAAGAAAGGAAACTGAGATTTCTAAAAGAGCCTCTAAGCTAGTTTTTCAGTAAAGAGTAAATGCTTTCACAATTAAGCAAGAGAGGAAACTGAGATTTCCAAGATAGCCTTTGAGCTAAGTTTTGAGCAATTATCTCAAACCACAGCAGGAAGTTATGTTTTTAAACATGAAGAGGTAGTATCATATTTTGGGAGTAGTACTATTGAGCACCGATATGGGGGAGCGTTCAGATAACCCACAACCCCCATAAACCATGTAGCCATCATGGGTAGAAAAGGGTCATACTTTTTAGATGAACCCTTAGTGCTTTTTAGCATAGACTAGTAGATCCACTTAGTGAGTTAGGTTCTATACCCCCGACAAGGTATAGGACGGTCCTTGGTAGCGTGAGGTAAAACGATGTATGATCACTATAGATCTTAAGTGATGGTTGTCGGTTAGAGAAACTCTCACATCAATATTTTGTATTTTTATATACATCAAATATATTTGTATTTTTTTATATATACAAACAGGGTTCATAATGTATCTTTGCATACATACAGAGTTATCATTGTACTTCTAAATACACAAAGTTGAAAACCATGTTTTAAAGCTTTTCTTTATACTGCATTTATTTACACTGCTTTATATTGAGTTCAGTTAAGTTAAGTAAAGCCCAGGTAAGTGTATCATCAGACTCTTTTCAAGCATATGTTATGTTTAGCATTCCAACTCACATACTCGTATATTTAATGTACTGATGTCAGTTGGCTTGCATCATATTATGATACATATGCAGGTAATCAGGATCAACATCCAGCGCATCGTTGATCGGGTTGAGTACTCAGAGTCAGTTGGTGAGCCTCCTTGCTTTCCGGAGAGCTCCTTTTTCATTTGCTTTCAGTTTTAGTATTTCAGTTGTTAGGATGATCGGGGGTCTTGTCCCAATATCCATCTCAGTTATTAGAGGCTTCATAGATAGATAGTCAGTTAGTTCATTGTCTTTACTTTGTTATTGACTTATGTTCAGAATTGAGTTGCCAATTTGGCTAAGTTAAATGTTTATTTCTAAAACATTATGAGTTAAATTTGAGATAGTTGAGTTATATATCTTGCATTTGAGTTATTTTCTTAATGCTTAAAGTCTTCCGCTGAGTAAGTAAGCCAGGCCAAGATTTCACTTGGGGCCAACAATGGTTCTCGAGTGCCGGCCACGCCCAGGGTGTAGGCTCGGGGCGTGACAGATACCATATAATTATTATTTAATATTTTATTAATTAGTTTTTTAATAATATTTAAATTTAGTGAAGGTGTAAAATCGTAATCCAACTTTGAAGTTAAGATCTTCCCACTTATAATAATATATGATTAGTTTTTTAATAATATTTAAATTTAGTGAAGGGGTAAAATCGTAATCCAACTTTGAAGTTAAGATATTCCCACTTATAATAATATATGATTAACTATAGTCATTTCTCAATATATGAATTTTCCAAAACACTAAACTTATTATATTTAAAGAGCGATATAGTAAAAATTATAATTATATTTGTTTCTCATTAAGGAGCATGTCAAGTTAAATAGTTCATAATGAACAAGTAAAAACAACTGAGTATATAATTGTACTCTCTATTAAAGAAAGAAAGAGAAAGAGCTTAGTTCACAACAATAATTGATGAAGAGACATATGCAAGATAAAAAGTAAACAATTGGCTCTTTTGTGGGTCATTTTCTTAATTGATAGTGAAAATGTAATTATTTTTTTGTCCATGCATATTTAAAGGTGATTTTTTTAAGTAGTGATTAAATTAAAAGCAATTAGCTCATTTCCATTCTATCGTGAAAAGTCTTTTTTGTTGTAGTGATTGAGTTATTGAGAATCGAGATGAGTAGTATATATTAAATTTTGTTACACAAATTTACGCTCAAAATAAGGGAAATTTAAATCATTGTTTAAAAAATAAAAAAGATATTATGGTATCAAGACATTTGTTAAGAAGTTAGGTAAACAATGAAAATACCACAAATTATACAATTTGTTTGGTGCTTAATTCCTTTCAAGAAGAATGATAAAATCCTTAATGATGTATTTTCCTTATATCACATGATATAATATATCTAAAACACAAATTCTAAAAAAAAATATATTATTTTTTTAACTCCACCTTTCGTTAATTAATACGGTCATATAAGATAAAACTGAGGGTATATAAGAATTTACATCATGTTTTAACTTGTTTACTACCCAAAAATAATAGCCAGGCAGCCAACACTTCCTCACGTCGAGTTGATAGTTGATGCAGACACGTTTTATTTTTTTTAATCATTCTGCATACCTTTAGTACTATATATATATATATTTCCAATTCTATGTAAATATAAACCAAACCAATAATGGCTTTGATCTCAAGCTTGTGCATCTTTGTTTTGGTAGCACATTTGGCCACACCAATTTTGTGTATTCGCAGCCATATTCATCAAGCACCTGCCCTTTTCGTGTTTGGTGATTCAATTTTTGATCCTGGAAATAATAACTACATCAACACCACTGCTACCTTCCAAGCAAATTATTTCCCTTATGGAGAATCATTCTTCAAGTACCCTACTGGCAGGAACTCCAATGGACGCCTCATTCCTGACTTTATAGGTAAATTTATTCACGTTTTGGGCAATTATATTCCTTGAAAAGTATTTAATAGTGGGAGGTAGTAGATAATCAACTTTTGCGCAAGCTGACCTGAACATAATTATAGTTAGTTGTATTTTTCAGCTGAATATGCTAATTTGCCATTTATTCCGTCCTATTTTGAAATTGGGAAGAAACATTTGGTTCATGGTGTAAACTTTGCATCAGGCGGTTCTGGTTGCTTGGCTGAGACCGATCGTGGCTCTGTAAGTCACAATATTTATTTCCTTTAACTAATTACTTTTATGTAATTCTTGTTTCAATTTTATGTGTCCTTTTTAATGACTCAGCATGAACAAGGAAAAAAAATCCTCATTTCTATTTCTTCTGAGTCGAGCCTCTCACATATGACTTACCTAAAGCGGTGCTCACAGCAGGACAGAGGGCTGTCACAGAGAATAAAAAAAAATAAAAAAATTACTTTTAAGTAATTCTTGTTTGCTTTGATATCAGATGGGATTATTTTTTAATTTTTCTTTAAATGTTGGGTTTCGATTGGACAGGTTATAGATCTTAAAACTCAGTTGAAAAATTTCGAAAACGTGACACAACTGTTGAAGAAGAAAGTGGGGAAAACAGAGTCCCATAAAATCCTGGCCAATGCTGTATATTTTTTTAGCAGTGGCAGTAATGATGTATTTGCCACTTTATCAGCAAATTCGACTTCTCCAAATTTCGATCAAGAATATCTACAGATTATTATGGGCAATTTGACTTCTGTTTTAAAGGTAATCAACTTAATTTTTCATCTTTTCTACTTCTTTCGATTTAATTTACCAAACACATATTGTTACTTCCATTTTCTATATGTTGAGTTTTGACTAGAGAGTAGTTAAACCTGGGCGTCTCAAATGGACTAAATTTAAGTAAGTCTAAATCAATTGACCTATTAACCCGCTCAATTGTTATTTGGGTTGAAATGACTTGGTCAAAATGAACTAGATAATGGGTCATAGCTTCACTCGCCCAACTCTTATGCAGTTTTTAAAGTTCTTCATTTTTTTTTTTATGGTTTATTGAATTATCGAGTAATTAATTTTATATATCACAATATTGTACATGTAAAGATGTTGAGGTCTAATGGTATTAAAACAAAATAGACATTTTAAAAAATATTTTAATAAGATTTCTGATATGTCAATCTAGATTTTATATCAGCCTAACGTTTAGGTCAGCTTAAAAGGGCATGTCAAATTGAATTGGATTAATAAATGGGGAGGTCATTAACTCGCTGACGGATCGTTTGTTTGTGCTTTGTTTAAATGAATGCAATAGGGAGTTTATATTGAAGGAGGGAGAAAGTTTGTGATGCTTAATATGGGCCCCTTAGGTTGTATCCCTACTATTAGGGCTCTCAACTTTCAAAAGGGAGTTACAAATGGAAGTTGCATGGAGGAGGTCACAAACATTGCCAAAATTTTTAATTCAGCTCTCCTAGAAATGCTCAAAAAACTAGAGAAGCAATTGCCTGGATTTAAGTATACAATATTCAACTTCTTCAAAGTACTTGCTGATAGCATTGATAATCCAACAAAATATGGTATGTTCTATCTCTTCAAACTCAAAATCAAGTATTTTTATGTTTGATTATTATATATTATGCACCGATGATTTTGTCCTGTTTTATTTAGGTTTTAAGATATCAGAGACGGCTTGTTGTGGAACGGGTCCATTTCGAGGGATTTTGAGTTGTGGAGGGAAGAGACAGATAAAAGAGTATGAGTTATGTAACAATGTGAAAGATTACTTATTTTTCGACTCTTCTCATCCCTCTGAGAAGGCCTACCAAAAATACACGGAATTACTATGGAACGGAACTCCAGACGTTGTGGCACCTTACAACCTAAAATCCTTTTTTGAACTTTCAACATAACATGATGACAATTCTATTAATTGTTAATGCCTACATTTTGTTTGAGTGGTTGTTACATATTGTTTCATAATATATCGTATTGTATTGTAATGTAATGTTTTAATAAATACAATGTTTTACATTCTCCGTTGCTACATAATATTACACATCAACAATTTGAATGATAAATCTACAAGAATAGAAGGGTACGAGGTAGAGCGACTAAATAAATGTGGGGTAAAGGCAAAGATAGAATTACTAAATAATAAAGGGAAACTCATATATGTCATTTAACTTTGAGAAAAAAACTCATTTATACCCTCTGTTAAAGGTTTGGTTCACCTATGCCATTTTCGTTTGAGAAAAAGCTAATTCATGTCATTATGAGTTAACTAAAAATTCATCTAGTTTTGCATACTCATTTTTCCATGTGGGCGAACAATGATTCGGCCACATCATTAATTTTTATTTTTATTTAAAAAAATCAATCAAATTTCTAAAATCCATTTGAATTATTTTTAAAAAAGCACCCAAATCATAAACATTTTCTAATAAAAAACAATCATCATTAGAAAACATATGTGTTATAAAGAGAAAAAAAAAATTACTTATTTGGAAAAATGATATTTTTGACTTATTAAGTAACAATAAAAACATTTGGATCAAACTATTGACGGCAAGAGCTCTTTTTAGATCAATCTATTAACTGATGATATTTTTTTACAGTTTAAGGACAATTTTACCTCTTTTCATTTTATTTTTTAATCATGAACGACAAAATTCTGTATTTATAGATTTTAAGTCCAACTTTCTCATTTAACCCTTAATGACATATTCTCATGGTATATTAAAGGGAAAAGAGTCTGAAAAATACTTCTACTTTGACCGAAATTGTTTTTACGTTACCAAACTTTATGGAGAACCTTTTACCACATGGACACATTACTATTTAAAATGATGCAATATTTATGATGTCCACGTATACACATATATACTTTTAAAATACACTATTAAATAGTACTGGGGTAAAAGGTCCTTTCCAAAGTTTGATATTGTTACAGCAATGTCGGCCAAAGTTGAAGTATTTTTCAAACTTTTTTCCCTATATATATATATAAGAAATGTTAATATGTTCCGAAACACAAATTCTAATTCCTTCGTAACTGAGTTGACTTTTGAATATAATTAAGATTTTACATCATGATTTAACATGTTTGGTAAGTACGTAATGATTGTCAGCCAGCACACACTCTTTCAATTAATTGAAAAACTTACTCTTTACATAGAGGGATAGTGGATGCATACAAGTATTTTTTTATTAATAATTATGCACATCACTAGTACCTATATATATATATATATATTTCCAACTCTATGCAAATATAAACCAAACCAATAATGGCTTTGATCTCAAGGTTGTGCATCTTTGTTTTGGTTGCACATTTTGCCACCCCAGTTGTGTGCCATAAAAGACCTCATCAAGCTGCCCTTTTCGTGTTCGGTGATTCAGTTTTTGATCCTGGAAATAATAATTACATCAACACCATTGCTAGCTTCCAAGCAAATTATTTACCTTATGGAGAATCATTCTTCAAGTACCCAACTGGCAGGACCTCCAATGGACGCCTCATTCCTGATTTTATCGGTAAAATTTATTCGAGTTTTGGTCAATTCTTTAAAAAAGTATTTAATTGTGGGAGGTAGTATATGTCCTGTAAAATAATCAACTTATGTTCAAGCTGACTCGAACACATGGGTGAAGAATTTGATTTCTAGTTGTATTTTGCAGCTGAATATGCTAATTTGCCATTAATTCCGCCGTATTTTCAAATTGGGAAGAAACATTTCATTCATGGAGTGAATTTTGCTTCTGCCGGTTCTGGTTGTTTGGCTGAAACCGCTCGTGGCTTTGTAAGTCTTGTTTCAATTTGATAGTTAGATCAATATTAGGTGGAATATATTTTTTTAATTTATTTTTAAATGTTGGTTTCCATTTGACAGGTTATAGATCTTCAAACACAGTTGAAATATTTCAAAAACGTCGCAAAACTGTTGAAGAAGAAAGTGGGGAGAAGAGAGTCCAAACAGATCCTCTCAAATGCTATATATATTTTTAGCACTGCCAATAATGATATGTTTGCCTCTTTAACAGCAAATTCGACTTTTCCATATTCCGATAGAGAATATCTACATATGATTATGGGGAATTTGACTTCTGTATGGAAGGTAATCAACTTAACTCATCTTTCCAATTTATTTTGTTGAATAGTAGTTTGGCTAAATAAGCTATACATAATTCTTTGTACTTCGCTTAAAGCTAGGGATAAGAATCATAAAAACACGTGGACTATCATTTTTTCATAACTCACACCTTAATTATTGGTTATAACCTTTTTCTAATTGAACTATCACTATCTATCAATGCAACAGGGGATTTACAAGGAAGGAGGAAGAAAGTTTGTGATGCTTAATTTGGGTCCATTAGGTTGTCTCCCTTCTGTTAGGGCTCTCAACCTTCAAATTGGAGTTACAAATGGAGGTTGCATGGAGAAGGCCACCAACAAGGCGAAAATGTTTAATTCAGCTCTCCCAAAAATGATCAAAAAACTAGAGAAGCAATTGCCTGGATTTAAGTATACAATATTCAACTTCTTCAAAGTATTTGCAGATAGCATTCATAATCCAACAAAATATGGTATCTTCTATCTCATTGAATGTCAAAATCAAGTATTTTGATGTTCGATTATATATTGTGCACTGTTGATTTATGTAAGAATAGCTGTTTTACCAAGAAGTACGAATATGAATTGGTGGAGTGGTGTGTACTCTTTCATTCTTAACCAGACGTCTTGGGTTCGAGCATTTGGGTATGGAGTTATCTTTGTTAAAAGGAGTTTTACCCTCAGGCCTCAATGTAGGACTCCACGTGAGAATCTAGATTTAGTTGGACTCCATTGCTGGTATCACATATGGACTGAGAAACATTAAAAAAAAAGTAGAAGAAAGAACCAGAATTGATCATAGAGGAGAATCTTAATGGCTCAACTGATTGATTATCTAAATTTTCACCTTGTTAGTGAGGGTTCGATTCCCCACATTGTAATCTCGCTTGCCTTTTAAAAGAGAATTGATCAATAGATTTCTCGAAACAAACAAAAAGGATATGGAAAGATATAACAGAAAATCATGTATATGAGTTGTTTTCTTGTCTGTCTTTAATATTCAGTTTAAACACTCAAGCAGCAATTTCATCGCTCTGCTAACAAAGTAGTATGTTGATGTAAAGAATTTTTCTTCAGTCTTAATTTACTTGTGATTTTGTTCTGTTTTGTTTAGGTTTTAAGATATCAAAGACGGCTTGTTGTGGAACGGGTCCCTTTCGTGGGATTCTTAGTTGTGGAGGGAAGAGGCAGGTAAAAGAGTATGAGTTATGTAACAATGTGAAAGATTACTTGTTTTTGACTCCACTCATCCCTCTGAGCAAGCCTACCAAAAATACTCGGAATTACTATGGAATGGAACTCCAGATGTTGTAGCACCTTACAACCTAAAGTCGTTTTTTGAACTTTCAACATAGCCAATCTTTAGATTTGATGTGATTACTTCGTATCTCAGTTGAGAAATAAGTTGGAATAAATGCAATGTTCATTTGGTTGAGATCAATTAAAAATTTCCCTCTTCATCTACAACGACTTCTCTTTCTCTGTTTTCATCCATTATTGGACCTTAAGAAGATGAACATGAATGTAGATTAGAGTTATCGAGGTCAAGGTATACTCTGAAATACTAAATCAATGTAAATATATGTGTCTGAGTTACTCACCTGAAAGAAAAGCGAGAAAATGCTAGACTGGGAGTTGATGTTATGCATCATGAAAAGATACAAAGAAACCTCCCCATGTGTTTGGTACTTCATTTTATAATACTAACTCTAAAGAAACAAAGACAACTAATTGGGACGGGTGGGAGTAGTAATTTGTATTAAATCAAATAATCTTCGGGAATGTGGTGTCAAGTGTTTGGTTCAATTGAATTTTTTTAAAGATTTTACATCAGGTTTGCTAAGTTAATGATTGTCAGCCAGCACACCCTGGGCCACCTGAATGTACATATTATTTTGCTTTAATAAAGTGGCCCTGGGGTCTTTGATTTTTTTTTTTTAAAAAAAAAAATCTTTCAATCAATTGAAAAACTTACTTACTCTTTACATAGAGTGGATAGTGGATGCAGACGAGTAGAGGCGGAGTTATGTGGGGGTTCGTGGGTTCAGATGAAATCAGTAATTTTTTCGTAGACCTTGTATTTATACTAAAAAATTAATTTTATATATATATATATATATATAAATTTGTGAACCCGTAATAAAATTGACGAAATTTAGAACCCTAAACTCTTAATCATGACTCCGCTTTTGCAAACAATTTTTTTTTCTTTTTATTAATCATTCTGCACTTCACTAGTACTATATATATTACCAACTCCGTGCAAATATAAACCAAACCAATAATGGCTTTGATCTCAAGCTTGTGCATCTTTGTTTTGGTTGCACATTTTTCCACCCCAATTGTGTGCCATAAAAGACCTCATCAAGCTGCCCTTTTCGTCACTACAACAAATTCGATTATCAGGGACAAATAATTTCATCATTTATAAATCATATTTCGTCACTAAAATTCTTGTGAGACGAAAAATAATTTGTCACTCAGTCGTCACTAAATGTGTGTCTCTAAAAGTATACAAAGACGATTTAGTGCTTCGTCGCTAAAAGTATTATGTTGACTACAAAAAGAAAAATCGTCCCAAAATGCTTCAACATTTGTGACAAATTCATTTGTCGTAAAAAGTATATTTTTTGTAGATAATAGTATGTTTTGTCACTAAAAAGGTTATTACTACCGACAAAATTATATCGTCAATAATGACTATATTTTATATACCAAAAATTATTTATTATTATAAAAAAGATTAATTTTCTTATTATCTTCCTCCCCCCACCCATCTCAAATTTATTTTAAACTCCT